TGACTCTTTAAAGTAGAGACACTACATACTGATATACACCTGAAATCAGCAGGAGAGGACTCTTTAAAGTAGGACACTACATACTGATATACACTTGAACATAGCAGGAGAGGACTCTTTAAAGTAGAGACACTACATACTGATATACACCTGAACATCAGCAGGAGAGGACTCTTTAAAGTAGAGACACTACATACGATCTACACGCGAACATCAGCAGGAGAGGACTCTTTAAAGTAGAGGACACTACATACTGATATACACTGAAACATCAGCAGGAGAGGACTCTTTAAAGTAGAGACACTACATATGATATACACCTGAACATCAGCAGGAGAGGACTCTTAAAGTAGAGACACTACATACTGATATACTGAACATCAGCAGGAGAGGACTCTTTAAAGTAGAGACACTACATACTGATATACACCTGAACATCAGCATGGGAGGACTCTTTAAAGTAGAGACACTACATACTGATATACACCTGAACATCAGCAGGAGAGGACTCTTTAAAGTAGAGACACTACATACTGATATACACCTGAACATCAGCAGGAGAGGACTCTTTAAAGTAGAGACATTACATACTGATATACACCTGAACATCAGCAGGAGAGAACTCTTTAAAGTAGAGACACTACATACTGATATACACCTGAACATCAGCAGGAGAGGACTCTTTAAAGTAGAGACACTACATACTGATATAGGACTCTTTAACTGATCCTTGTGTTTCTGCAGAGCTCCAGCCTGAAGACGGCTCTGCTGGATTATCTGAAGCGATGCCTCCCTGCTGACAGCGAGAAACACAACATGGTGGCGCTGTGCTTCAGCATGAGGAGGGAGATCGGAGAGAACCACGAGATGGCAGCCCGCACGCAGCTGAAGATCATCGAGTCCCAGCCTTGGGGTGAGACAAAAACTAACCAAAAATATCCAAATACTCAACAAAAAGACAGAGACATCAAGTCGTCTCAGCGGAGGAGTCAAAATGGGGACATTAGTGGTATTTCTTCTGGAAAACATGCACATTTGCAAACCTACAGTTAATTTGATTACTGTATGTTAGCTTTAAGCCTGTTAGCTGGCCTGCTGGGTAACATCCACACTGCGGTAGTTCAGACACAGGATTTCTCTTCAACTTGTAAAACTGGAGCAACAATAAACATTCAGAGTGTTTGTCTATATGTGAAACACAGTGAAGTCATGCTGCTGTTTTTATTTCCAGTGGTGACTCCTGAGCTGAAGAGTTCTCTGGTCAAGGTGCTGGGCCTGCTGAAGGACGCTGCAGAGAGCTTCTCCAAGGTACACCCCCCCCCCACAGAGCACCGGGACTCTTCATTACATTTGTATAGCGCCTTTCAAGGGACCCAATGCCGCTTTACAAACAAACAAACAAGAGGGGCAAATAATAAAGTACAAATTAAAGAACTAGCAGTAGGAGTGGAAGCAGGGGGCTGTGACGGGTTAGGGGTCAAAGGCCATGAAGGACAGGTGAGTTTTTAATGAAGACTTGAAGATGTCCAGGGAAGCAGCGTTGCAGAAAATAAGCAATCCACTGCATTGAAGGTTAACTTCTCTCCTTGTGTGTGTGTGTGTGTGTGTGTGTGTGTGTGTGTGTGTGTGTGTGTGTGTGTGTGTGTGTGTGTGTGTGTGTTTCAGGACTCGTGTGTGCGCCAGGCGACTCGCTGCGTGCGGACAGCGAAGCTTGTGGCTCTGCAGCTTCACTTCCTGAAGCAGGACTCAGACCTGCAGCTCGTCAACCTGCAGCCGCCGGAGCTGCTGAGCGCCGTCACTGTGCTGCCGAGCTGCTACCAGGTTGTGTGTGTGTGTGTGTGTGTGTGTGTGTGTGTGTGTGTGTGTGTGTGTGTGTGTGTGTGTGTGTGTGTGTGTGTGTGTGTGTGTGTGTGTGTGTGTGTGTGTGTGATGTGTGTGTGTGTGTGTGTGTGTGTGTGTGTGTGTGTGTGTGTGTGTGTGTGTGTGTGTGGTGTGTGTGTGTGTGTGTGTGTGTGTGTGTGTGTGTGTGTGGTGTGTGTGTGTGTGTGTGTGTGTGTGTGTGTGTGTGTGTGTGTGTGTGTGGTGTGTGTGTGTGGCCTGTTGTAGTTCTACAACAAAAAGAGTCCTGCTGACATGCCTATTCTGCTTTTCGCTTCTCCCTCTCACGTAGTGTGTTCTATAGGTTTTAGTGCATGTAAATGGTCTGCAAAGGCTCAGATCCCTGTGTATCTCTGATGACACTGATGTTTCTCTCTTTGAAACGGATGATTCACTGCTCCGAATCTTCACAGAAATGATGAAATTACGCTTTAAAAATGTACATCAAAGACTCTTTCTAACGTGTGTGGATTACTTAGTGGATTTAAAAAAAATACTCTGGTGAAAGTAGAAGTACTGACTAAACTTCTTTACTCAAGTCAAAGTAAAGAGGCTTTGAAATGTACTTCAGTAAAAAGTACCCATAACTAGCAGCTGCTTTAAAGAGTACCTGACCTCCCTTTATATTAATAGAACAATAATGTCATTGTTATCTAATGAATGTTTCCATGCTGAACAACGGCAACATGACAACGTTTCCATTGGTCCCTCTTCTTTAGAGAAGACCAGGAAATGATGGATACACGGATCGTGTTCAAATCAATAGGCACGCAATGACTCTAAAGAATAATGATCACGCACCAAACACACATTCAGACTAAAGGAACCAGCTGTTTGGAAAATGAGAGAAGTAGAAAGTACAAGTATTTGAGTTCAACATGTGAGAAGTAGAAAGTACAGGTATTTGAGTTCAACATGTAAGAAGTAGAAAGTACAGGTATTTGAGTTCAACATGTAAGAAGTAGAAAGTACAGGTGTTTGAGTTCAACATGTAAGAAGTAGAAAGTACAGGTATTTGGGTTCAACATGTAAGAAGTAGAAAGTACAGGTATTTGAGTTCAACATGTGAGAAGTAGAAAGTACAGGTATTTGTGTTCAACATGTAAGAAGTAGAAAGTACAGGTATTTGAGTTCAACATGTGAGAAGTAGAAAGTACAGGTATTTGGGTTCAACATGTAAGAAGTAGAAAGTACAGGTATTTGGGTTCAACTTGTGAGAAGTAGAAAGTACAGATATTTGGGTTCAACATGTGAGAAGTAGAAAGTACAGGTATTTGAGTTCAACATGTAAGAAGTAGAAAGTACAGGTATTTGAGTTCAACATGTAAGAAGTAGAAAGTACAGGTATTTGGGTTCAACATGTAAGAAGTAGAAAGTACAGGTATTTGAGTTCAACATGTGAGAAGTAGAAAGTACAGGTATTTGAGTTCAACATGTAAGAAGTAGAAAGTACAGGTATTTGTGTTCAACATGTAAGAAGTAGAAAGTACAGGTATTTGAGTTCAACATGTAAGAAGTAGAAAGTACAGGTATTTGTGTTCAACATGTGAGAAGTAGAAAGTACAGGTATTTGTGTTCAACATGTAAGAAGTAGAAAGTACAGGTATTTGAGTTCAACATGTAAGAAGTAGAAAGTACAGGTATTTGTGTTCTACATGTAAGAAGTAGAAAGTACAGGTATTTGGGTTCAACATGTGAGAAGTAGAAAGTACAGGTATTTGAGTTCAACATGTGAGAAGTAGAAAGTACAGGTATTTGAGTTCAACATGTGAGAAGTAGAAAGTACAGGTATTTGAGTTCAACATGTAAGAAGTAGAAAGTACAGGTATTTGAGTTCAACATGTAAGAAGTAGAAAGTACAGGTATTTGGGTTCAACATGTAAGAAGTCAAAGTAAAAAGTCGTCAGAGTGGAGTAAAGTACTGATACCAGACAAATGTACTTAAGTACAGTAACGCAGTATTTGTACTCCTCTACTTCCCACCTCCTGATCCAGCGTCTCTCATTATTCCTGTGTTCTCGTCCCTTAGGTGTTGGTGGTGGCCGAGGCGTACGGCTACAGTCCGGACTGGCCTCACATTTTGTTCCAGAAGGTGATCCTGAGCGGAGACTTTGTTTACCTGGACGACTTCAAACGCCTCCGCCCCCTCACCTCCGCCCTGTTCGAGGACATCTTCAAAAAGTAAGACATCGTAACGCCGTGCTCACAGCAAAGAGTCAAGCAGGGGGACAAGATTCAAGGCTTTTATTATCATTTGTAGAGAGCTACAGTGTATATATGACAACGGAAATCTGAGGTCACCGGCTCCTCCAACAGTGCAACATATATATAGGACATGAAACAGATAAAATAGTGCATGTAAATACAAATAAACTAGAAACAAAGACTGTGACCGGAGGGAGGCTGCATGACGCATCACTGTAAATAATACTCAGTGGACAGAGATAGTTAGTGTTTTTAAAACTGAATAAACAAATGGTAAAGCATACTTTGAAGCAGAGGTGGAGTCCATCAAGAACTCTGTATTACTTTGAGGTACAGTACTTGTAGTTACTAGTTACTTTTACGTTAGAAAAGTTGCTCCAATTTAAAATGAAGTACAAAAAGATAAATAAGTGTGTGTGTGTGTGTGTGTGTGTGTTCAGGCTGGATGGGGCTCCCTGCAGTGTCCCTAATGCTCGCCGCCTGCTCTCTCACTGTGAACACGTGTTCAGCCGCTACAGACTGGCCTACCAACAGAACCTTCTGGACGTCAGCAAGGCTCTGCTGCAGGACACACACTCCTCCGGATACCTGAGGGACCAGCTGGCCAGCTGATCCAATCGCCACCAGAACCACCGGCTGGAATACAGAGAGCTGCAGGGATGTGGTGTTCCTGTGCTGGTCCCTGAAGGCAGCATCTCCCTGCTCCAATGGGATCCCTCCACGTGGTTTTTGGATTATTGCAGAAAATAATCTCTGTGTCAAACAAACTCACACGTTTAGTTCAGGTGTGGGGAATCTACTTACCACTGACCTTATTTCAGACTAACAACCTAAAACACATTCAGAAGACCATTGACTTCCAGACCAGGGGACAGGAAGTGATGCTGACTCATTTCAGGGTTTAGGACTCATTCCTGCACCACTGATGATTCTCTCTTTGAAACGGATGATTCAAAATCTTCACAGAAATGATGAAATTACACTTTAGAAATGTACATTAAAGACTCTTTCTAACATGTGTGGATTACTGTGAAAAGTACAACCATGTAAATGATTAAATAAGAATACAGAAGATAATAATAATAATAGGTAATGCTCAGGTAAGGTACTTCAAAACTGCACAATACTCAAAGAAAATGTACTTTATTTCCAGTAACTCACAGTCTGCTGTTGGGCTCTAAGTGTGTGGGTGTAGTTTTCTGTTTGTCCACTAGATGGTAGTCCAAGCTCTGTTTTCTCCTCAAGTCTTTTCTGTGATTTCCACCTGAGCGATGAACAGAGGTGGAATAAGTACTCAGATCTTGTACTTTAGTAAAAGTACTCAGATCTTGTTCTTGATTAAAAGTACTCAGATCTTGTTCTTGATTAACCCTCTATGGCATGACTTTTTATTTTGGGAGGAAAAAAATGTTTCACCATGTGTTTTAGGAGCTTAGGGGTCCCTGATATTATATCAATTATAAAATGTGACCACCCCTCAACCAGGGGTTGGTTTGTTGCCTCAGGGCAACAATGTGCTACGAGGGTATTGAAACACCAAGGATGTATACAATTCAGAAGAAATAGATATAGGCTTGCAATTTAGAACTAATACACTTTATTGTATTGGGTTACTCTTATTCTGAGTATTTGGTGATGTAGTTCAGCCACCTGGTATTTCCCTCTCCAAATATAATGACCATCAGAGTGAGCATTCTTAACTTATAAGCTATTGTGCCACTTCTCCCCCATTCGGAGTTTGACTGTCTCAGAGAAGAGGTAGGCCTATGTCTAAAGAAATCTCATTTGCAATATAACTGCACCAGATATTTCCATACAACTACTGGTTAGTGTTCAATAGCACCCTAGACAATTCAGTAATGGTATATTTTTTAGGGATTTCTGTTTTTCTGATAAATGAGAGAAAAGTGATGGAGTCCTATGTTCCAATCACCAAAAAGTACAATTTCCGTCTAAACTAAAGCTAAGTCTACAGGACTATAATTCAGTCTTTTCTTAGTTAAATAATTGTCTGACTATTTGGTGATGTAGGACAGCCACCTGGTTCATACCTCAGCAATTCTGAAGAGGAAAAGAGTTGTCATTCTCAAGTTATGGACTTTTTTGTCACCTTTCCCATTCGGCCTGGTCTAATTTGGCTCTTTTACAGTTCTAAAGAACAACCCAAAAAACATTTTTTCCCCCAAAATAAAATTTGACAACAATCAATTTCATTAATGGGAGACCCTAAAGATAAGAAAAATCATTGTTGTCATTTGTTCTACCTTGGGTAGTGGTATCTCGAAAACTAAAGCCTTTTTTGAGGACTTGCTGCTGGACTATAACACTAGAGTACTTAAATACCTCAACACTTAAACTTCAGTGAGGTTTTGAATGCAGGATCTTTACTGGGTTATTTTCACACTGTGGTATTAAAGGTGGGGTAGGTAATTTTGGAGAAACCAGCTCGAGTGCGCTAGAATTTGAAAATACACAGCCGGAAAAAATCTGCCACTTCCTCACAGAGCCCCTCCTCCAACACACACGAACGCGCACATGACCAATGAGGGCACGAGATCAGTTTGTGCACAGATGGAAGGCTGACAGGCAGGTAGGCCATCCAGTTACTTTAGCCAGGCCGGCTCAGATGATTGGTCATGCTTCTTACAGCGCCACGGCTTCCACAGATGACATTTTTGTATGGATTTTTTTGTCAAAGCACTTCAGATATTCATTGCTATCGGGATGTTAAGAGCATTCCTTGGAATATAATAACAAGTGTATCTCGAGCCGGTTTCTCTAACATACATACCCCACCTTTCATATTTGTATTTCAATAACTTTGTTGAGCTTGTTTTGAGCTCTGTTTCTATCTCACTGAACAGAGTCCCTGGATGTGAACTGGTTCAGCTGGTAAGGCTGGTTATAAAACAAAGGGGAGGAGCTGCAGACAGGTGAGGTGTTAAAGTGAAGGAATGAAGTCTGACTGCTAGACACCATTTTACAGCTGGACGGAGCAGGCGGACAACAGGGTGAGTGCTAAGACCAGGATCTGCTTTAAACACATTCATTATTTACTCTGTCAGACTGATAACATAACTTCTTTGTTAAAAACCAGCGTCCTAGAGTCCAATGAGACTTCTGCAAACTATGTTCATTTCCTGTTTGCTGATCCATCAGAGTTACAGAACATGTGACAGCTTTGATGTCTTTAAACCAAGTTTAATACTATGATGATTTGGGTTGAAAAAAGCGTGTTATCGTGTGTGTGTGTGTGTGTGTGTGTGTGTATGTGTGTGTGTGTGTGTGTGTGTGTGTGTGTGTGTGTGTGTGTGTGTGTGTGTGTGTGTGTGTGTGTGTGTGTGTGTGTCAGACTGGAGAAGATGAGTGGTTTAAAAGATGAGGAAGAGGACACACCTTCAGTCTTCAGCCGTCTCTCTCTGAAGAGTGACTGGTTTGAAGACTTCAGAAATGAACCTGGACCCTCAGACACAAAGTAAGAGTTTCTGCTGTAACCTGACCTGAAGAGGATTCAGCTTTTATACAACCTAATATATTAAGGATATTTCAATATGCAATTATAGTATCATTGTATCTGTGGCATTACATGGTTTTAAATGGCACAAATATTGATAAACACTAACTAAAAACTAAATATATCATCCAAAACATGATTCACTACTTGGGCATGTTTATGATATGTGTTATTAATAATAGTGATGAGCTGGTTGTGTTTAGCATTAGCAGATATAACAGAGTTTTATGTGATTACATGTAGAGAAAATGCAAAGACCCAGATCTGTGCCTGGCAACACGAAGGAAGTGAAGATGTGAAATTCATGTCACCTGCGTATTCGTGCAGCGTGACACATTTCATCTTGAGTGTAAAGTTTGTGACGCTCTGCCCATTGGAGAGAATCATGTAGTTCAAGCATCCCTCTCCTCTGTCATCATCCTGTTGGACCTGTCTGCTGCATTCAACACGGTGAATCATCAGATCCTCCTTCGCACTCTCCAAGAACTTGGAGTTTCAGGCTCTGCACTTTCCCTCCTCACCTCATACCTCAAAGACCGTACCTACAGGGTAACTTGGAGAGGGTCCGAGTCCAACCCTTGTCAATTAACTACAGGGGTCCCTCAGGGCTCTGTTCTCGGTCCCCTCCTCTTCTCCTTGTACACAAACTCGCTCGGATCAGTCATTAGCCCGCATGGTTTTTCTTACCACTGCTACGCTGACGACACCCAATTAATTCTGTCCTTCCCCCGCTCAGAGACCCAGGTCGTCGCACGCATCTCTGCTTGTCTAGCTGACATCTCTCAGTGGATGTCTGCTCACCACCTCAAGCTCAACCTTGACAAGACTGAGCTGCTCTTCCTTCCGGGAAAAGATTGTCCCACTCTTGACCTAACAATCAACATCGGCACCTCAGTTGTTTCCCCGACTCAGACTGCAAGGAATCTGGGTGTGACCCTAGATAACAACCTGTCCTTCACTGCAAACATAGCTGTAACAACCCGTTGCTGCAGATACACGCTTTACAACATCAGGAGGATGCGTCCCCAGCTGACACAGAAAGCCACGCAGGTTCTGGTCCAGGCTCTCGTCATCTCACGCCTAGACTACTGCAACTCCCTCCTGGCTGGTCTACCTGCATGTGCCATCCGACCTCTGCAGCTCATCCAGAATGCAGCGGCTCGTCTGGTCTTCAACCTTCCTAAATTCTCCCACACCACTCCGCTCCTCCGCTCCCTTCACTGGCTTCCGGTAACTGCTAGAATCCACTTCAAGACAATGGTACTTGCGTACCATGCTGCGAATGGATCTGGCCCTTCCTACATCCAGGACATGGTTAAACCGTACACCCCAGCGCGTGCACTACGCTCTGCATCAACCAAACGACTCGCTGCACCCTCGCTGCGAAGGGGACCCAAGTTCCCATCAGCAAAAACACGTGGGTTTGCTATCCTGGCTCCAGGATGGTGGAATGAGCTCCCCATTGACATCAGGACAGCAGATAGCTTACACACCTTCCAGACTGAAAACTCATCTCTTTCGACTCCACTTCCAGCGATATAACTATTAACAAAGCACTTATATACTAATAAAGGGCTGGCTTATCGAAAGCCAGTTGAGTAGCACTTGAAATGTTTTAGCTCTATGAAACCTGATGTACTTATATGATTCTGTTTTTCTTCAAGTTTGTATTTTGTTGGTCGAACGCACTTATTGTAAGTCGCTTTGGATAAAAGCGTCAGCTAAATGCAATGTAATGTAATCAGCTCCACTAATGCAAAGTGCTATAAAGGATGTGTTCATCTCCACAGAGGGAACAGGAGAAGTGCTGCCAGTCAGACCAGAACTGTACGAGGTAAGAGGCCGAACTCATGCAGCGTTTCATTCCTCTTCCTGGTTCTTTTGTTTTTGATTAGGTATACTGTTGTAGAGCATATAGACAGTAAGCTGTTTATAAAACATTTAAACTCTGTATTTTTAATGAGAATCTCAGATCATTTTCCTGATTCTCTCATGTTTCCTTCTCTCTCAGCAGATAGTGGTCTGCAGAAGGTTTTAGATGAACATAGGCTCAGTCTGAGGAGGAGATGTGAACGTGTGACTGAAGGAACTGATGAAAGTGAAACCCTCCTCAACAGCATCTTCACTGAGCTCTACATCACACAAGGCCAGAGGGAAGAGGTTAATACCCAACATGAGGTGAGGCAGCTGGAGACAGCTTCCAAGAAGAAGCCCCTCCATGACACTCCAATCAAGTGCCAAGACATCTTTAAAGCCTCACCTGACCAACAGACTCTCATCAGAGCGGTCCTGACCAACGGAGTCGCTGGAGTTGGAAAAAGCTTCTCAGTGCAGAAGTTCACTCTGGACTGGGCCGAGGGTTTGGGAAACCAACATGTCAGTCTGGTGATTCCGCTCTCCTTCAGGGAGCTGAACCTGATCAAAGGTGAGCAGTACAGTTTTCTCAGGCTGCTCCATGTTTTCCATCCGACCTTACAGAAGGTCACAGCAGAGCAGCTGGCT